TGTGTCTAGGTGTCTGAAGTAACTGGCAGGAGGACCACTCATGTGGTAGTCAGCTTCCCACCCTGGGGACCAACACTTGAGGTAAGTAACTTGTAAGGAGGAAAGCTTTATTTTGGCTCATGGTTCCAGCGTTTCCCTCTGTGGTTGCCTGGAGCTTGCGGAAAGGCACAAAGAACATCGCAGTGGGGAGAATGTGGTGCAGCAGAGCTGCTCCCCTCATGATGGCCAGGAGGCAGAGATCCCTTTCAAGGCCACGCCTAACTTCCTCCCCTTAGGCCCCACTTCCTAAAGGTGATAGCACCCTGGGCTGGTGACCAAGGCTTTGACACACTGGCCTTTGGGGGACACTCCAGACCCAAACTGTGGGCTCTGGCCCCTAGAGAGAACCTAACCCTTAAGCCCTCTTCACTCAAACCCTGTGGACTCCTCATTTTCCAATAGTCTAATAAGCCACATCATCTTGCCTGCCAGTTCTCAGCACTGTGGACATTAGAGCTAAGTACTGACAGGCATAAACACAGCAACCAGCAGGAAAAAGAGTCCGCATATTAAAAAGCAGTTATCTGGATATTTAAAGCCCAATGGTCCAGGACTAACCTAGGGGCAGACACTCCCAAATACATAACCTGGTGGGAGTTTCTCTAGATTTCTGCATAGATCATCAGTTGATGCCACCAACAAGAGTTAAGTCTACCCCCAAAAGGTGGAGCTGGACCAGTGTACTTATTTAGTAAAAAAGATTAAAGCATGTTTACGACACAAGCCACTCTCAATAAAAAAAAGTTAAAAAGACTATGGAAGTACTGGGATGAGGCTTCTGGTATAAGCTCTCTACATTAAGGGATGAAACACCTTCATTAAGGTGGACGATCAGCTCGTACTTTCTGGAAGTTGGATAGTGGAGGGATAGGGGGCTGCTGTAGTACACAACACGGCTAGGGGAGACGGAGCAGCTCCTGCCACGTAAGGGCACTTCCCACCAGGCACATCCCGTACTACAAGGCCACAAGCTGCTGCTCATCCAACAGGACCTTGCCAGCTTCCTTTCCTCTCTGGGTGTCTTCTAACTCTGGGCACTTATGATAAACCCTGGTGACTCAGGAACACACTGCTTGGTGGTGGGCGCTCAGGCTCTTCAATGTGTGCGACCTGAAATTCCTGTCTGGGCCACTCCTGATGTCATACTGTGACTGCAACCTCAGCCCAGTGCCACTGTTCTCTGCTTCCAGCTGATGCCGGTCTCCACAGGGAGCAGGTTCCATGGACCATGAGTCTGTCCTGCCTCTTATCAAGTCAAAGACAGAGACCACTGATCTGCATGAACCTTTCAGGAACCAGTCCTCTGCTTTAGCCTGTCCTTACCCAGCCACTGGCTCACCACAGAAGTGCCTGGAAAATCCCTCCAGATTCGCACATCTATCTGGGAAGAGGAAAAGAACTAAGATGCCAGGTTGACATTATGACTGTTTAATGTCATACACGTTATAGTTCTGGAGCTGCCTGGTTTCTCCCTATAACCTATGTGACTGCAGGGGAAACGCCTAGGTTTTCTGAAGGTGAGGAAGAATATCTTCCTTTACACTACATTGGCATTTTCTGCAGATGTTCCAACTGCTTCAGAAACATCCTTTCGGGCCTTGAAGCAAGCAGGTGGAAGTTTTTGTTTGTTTTTTTGGTACCAGAGATCAAACTCAGAACCTTGCACTTGCAAGGCAGGTGTGATACCACTGAGCTAAATCCCCAGCCCCACCAGGTGGGAGTTATTCTTTCTGGACAAAAGGTGGAATTAAGAATCTTAGCCCAACAGGACTGAAATGTTTGTTAAATGCTTAAGGGAAAACAAAGGAAAAGCTCTGAAAATGTGAGATAGGACAGATGTGACCAAAAATGGGATTAAGAAGGGTACACAAAACACCAAAAAAGGAGAATTCTCCTGTAATCAGCTCAGCCTTGGGCCAGCTTCTCCAAAGTCACTGCTTGGCATTCCGAGGGCTAATGGCTTCCACACCAGCAAGGGCAGCAGCATCAGGCCTGATGAATGCTAATTTGGGCTCAAACTAGTTTTCTCTTTTTGATCTTTGCTGGAAAACAGGACCAATAATTCCAACTCCAAAATGTAAAGGCAAAAATGAAAGCAATGCACAGGTACTTAAAGCTAAGTTCACAGATCTCTAGGACTAATGGACAACGACCCCACTGCCAGCCACACTGGCCCTGCTCACGAGATGAGATGAGGAACCCTGCCTGCCTCTCTCCCCTGCACTGCCTTCTCTTCTGTTCAGTGTTTTTGTTTTCCAAGGATCTGATGAGGGGCCTTGGCTCCTTTAAATGTCACAGTGGAAACACCATGGGTTTGGCACTATAAGGCCTGGATCTGAATCCCAAATCCATCCTTCACTTAGATAAACCCCTGTCAGTGACTCAACATGTGCGCCTCGTGTTCAGAAGGAGGTTGCCTGAACCTCTTTCAGTCCCTGAGACGACATGCTCAGTGCTTACCACACCGTGGCCTCTGAACTGTCTACTCCCTGAAGCAAGTGGGAGAGCAGCCCAGATCTGCAGTGAGCTCTGAAGTCCTGCAAGTAGCATAACCATGGCATGATGAGCAATGTGCCAGTTCCAACATCCGGGTCCCCCCTGCTTCCTACTTTTGCAGAAAATATTAAAAAAAAAAAAAAAGGGGCTGCTTTAAGCATCCAGCTGCTGGTATAGGTAACTGAGTACAAGTTGGTGTGCCCTTCTACTCTGGGAGGCCACACCCAAGGACCCTATCACCCCGGAAAAATTCAAGCTCCTCACACTATCCAGGACCTCTGTTATCCAATCTGTAAAGCAGCTCCCTCAATGCACTGGGCACCTAGGGGCCCTCCATCTGGAGGCACATGCCAGCTATGTGCTGCACCCTCAGTGCTGCTGCACCCCCCCCCCCCGAAATACCTGTCAGCTGTATGCTGGCCCTTGGGAATTACTCTCATCTTTTATGTTTCCTACCTGTCCTTTTTGTTTTCATCCATTTCCTAAGAGATTTCTTCTACTCCAAACCTTGTTGGATCTCTGGTTTTATATTTTCTTACATTGACAGTCTTCCTTCCCCCACCTTCTTTAACAACCATCCATAGTCCACCGTCCTCTGATACAGTGTCTGTTCTGATTTTTCTGAGAGATTAAATACAGTTTCTTTGATGTTTTCTTCTGCTCTCTGCATTGCCATTTCTTCTGACTTTTTTTCTGCTTACTTTGGTTTCTTCCATTCTGGACACCATCCATGTGTGCTTAAGAGTGAAGTATTCAGAAGCTGTAGTGGTTAGGATGGAGGGTCCATGTGACTGGCTTTGGGATTCACCAGGGGAGACAGGTGCAGCACACTTCTGGGTACATCACAGAGACTGACTTTAAGGTGTCTATCTGCTCCCTGGCCCCTTCCTCCGTGGTACTGTTGCCCTGTTCTATTTCCCAGCTGCCATGAATTAAGCATCTTTCTGCTGCCATGCTCTTCCACCATGATGTTCCTCCCCGGGAGCCAGTGGATCATAGACTGAATTCCCTGAAACCATGAGCCGAATTAAACCTCTCCTTCTTCTTTCAGTTGTGAGTGTTAGATATTGTGTCCCAGCAACCAGAAAGCCAATGGGCTACTGTGCATGCATGGAAGGGGCTGGGAGATTTTTACCAGAAAACCCTGCCATGTCACCTTCTACAGAACTCTGCTCTGGGACCACGCAGTTTCTCCAATTTGGAAAAAAAATTCTCCAGTCTCTTCTGACTCAGTGAAGAACCCCTACAATACATAGAACTCAGGGGCTGAGGGCTCTGCTACTTAGCGTGCAGGCAGCCCTGGTCTTTGGGGCAAGGACAAAGACCAATGACCTTGACCACGGCCAAGATATTTCGAACTCACCTAAGTAAAAAACTTAAGCACAGTGACAGCTTTTTATTTTTACCATTTCCGGTGGAAATATTTGAAGTTGGAAAGAGAGATGAAGAGCCTTAATGATCTTACTCTCTGTCCTTCCCATTATTAACTCACACATTATGTTCCCTGGTTTCTGCCCCTCTAAGGCCAAATTCACAAACCCACCACCATCACCAGCTCAAGAATGATGAGCTGTTTTTTCACTTGTTATGAGCTCACTGACAGAAGACATGAAAAAGACACTGCTGTTTGTGACCTACAGAGAGAGCATTATTGAGTTCCCAACCCAGTCTTCTGCGACCTTTAGGAGAAGCCAGGGGAAAACAGGAAAGATGCTGGGGCAATGCTTCGGGAAGAAACCACCCAGGCAGGGTCATGAACGGCCCTTGGCTGCCTACTTCTTCAGAATTCTGTTCCCACAGTGAGGACGGCACAGGGCTGCCAAGCTCAAGAAAGGCTCAATTCACCCACTCACCCCCCACCTCACCCCGTTACCAAGCACCCTGCACACAGCCTGTACCAACCCTGCACTTCCACTTGCTCAAAAAGTCAAGGCATTCCTTCCAGCCCTGCTTTTTTAGGCTCTATATTTGGGAGCATAAAAGGCCCTTAAATATCCACGGTAATTTCTGTGCTTTGATGATAGGTTACCTGGCTGTGTAAGACGGGTCTGGAACATATTTATTAAATATTATCATTACGAATGCCTGGTGTAATTACCAGCAACAAAGACTATTCTACACACTTTAGAAACTATTAAAAACCGAAGCCAGAGGCCCTTACGAAGATGAATGAAATCTACCCGTTATGTCCTGCAGCTGGGCATATTTAAAATGCCAAGCTGAATTTTAAAAGTCCTATTAGAGCAAATATTACAACTTTCCACTTTATTCCTAATTGACACCATGTATACAGAAAATATGACTCAGGATCCACAGAAGCTGTGAAATGTTTTCCTACTTTATTAAACAAACTATTCTCTCCTGAGAAAGGCAGCAACAGAGGTGTCTTGCATGGTATAATTACACACACACACACACATACACACACACACGCACGCACGCACGTGCGCACACTGGACACTGACCAGATTTTTGAATAGGGCTGTCAACTCCTTGGTGAACACAGAGAACTTTAGGAATGCACTCCCTAAATCCGGGTCATCTCTGCACACACAGTTGCTACCGAACTTCTCCAGGGCCTGGGTGTACTGCTCCTCGTTCTCCACGTGCGCTGCAATAGCAAGTGGAAGGGCTGTTAGCAAACCGAGTGCTCCATCCCCAGTCCTGTCCCCGTCCCCACCAGGTGCCTCCCAGTTGTGAATAAAACCCAACACAGGGCTGGGGATTTAGCTCAGTGCTTTCAACGCCTGCCTTGCAAGCGCAAGGACCCGAGTTCGATCCCCAATACCCAAAAAAAACACAAAAAAAAACCCCCAACACATTGGCAGCACAAAAATCAAGGAACGTTAAGCTGCAGACAACCTATTCCTACAGCAGCCCACTGTGCTGATGACAGGTCCCAAGGAAGTAGTGTGGTGACCAGGAGGGAAAAAGCCCCACCCAGGCCAACAGTCTGACACCAAGGGGATCCCACCCTCTTGCACCTGCCAGGACCCCTCCTCAGCCGCAGACTCAGCTCCTTACTCAGCCCATGGGTTAGGATACTCATTGTGGCCACTGCTCCTAATGCAGGGACAGCAGTAGTCTCTGGAACCTGGACCAGGCAGCAAAGGCTTGCTTGTACTTCTGCTCAGCATCGTCCCCTGCTTGGGGTCATCCTCCCTGGCCCTTGACCTCCCTGCTCAACTCCTCCAGGATCCCCTGAGACTCTGCCTGTGCCTTCGGATCCTCTCTGGCACCTCTCCTACATTCTGCTTCCATGTTACAACTGAACTATCTACAAATGCTTGGAGGAGAGGGACCAAATTGCATTTGTCTTTGTCCCTCGAATATAACCCAACGCACATATGGTGTGAACAGGAAAAGCAAACTGCCATCTGCCTGATGTCACCCCACTGTCCTGAGGCCTCAGGGAGCACCTCAAGACTTAATATCTGGACTCCAAGTCTCTAGTTCAACACCTCTCAATCCCTCTTGGACCTCAGGGTGATCTGCAGATCTTTACAACAGAAGCTAGAGTCCCACTCAGACCTGAGTCAGGAATGAGGAGAGAGAGTGCAGCAATTCTGGTAAATTACTGAAGTTGAAAACAATTCCCTCACCACCAGGGAAGGCATGTTCAAATGAAACTAGCTAGTCCATAATAAAACAATGTTCATTTGCGTGGATTCCTGATCCTACCATTTTCATTTCAATCAGAGCAAGCAATCATGCAGGTCCACTTGGATGTGAACTCCACCAGGCAGAGATGGCACCGTGCTGTGGCTCCCTTGAAGAGGAACAGATTTTGAGTGCCCTTCGCAGCCTTCAAACTCTTCTTCAGGGAACTAAAACCACCATCTGCCAATGCCAATGCCAACACTTAGGCCCAAAGACTGGGACAACGAAGGGACCACAGCTTCTGGACCACAGCTCTGGAGCCTATGACCCATAAATGGCCTGTTCATCTGTCCCACCAGGGAAGCACTGCACCCTTGCCCACCAGGGTATCTGGGTGTCTTCAAGCATTCTAACGTGGATCTAGCAAACACAGGAGAAATTAGTTTCAATGCTCAAGTCTTTTTCCTTCTTAAAAACATTCTAGAAAGGGGCCTAAGAATTCTAGATAAATTAAATGCATTTCCTATCCCCACCCTCCTCTTTTATTTTTTTCACTACGAGAACTGAAGCTAGGGCCTTTGTATCGGGCTACATCCCCAGCCCTTTTTAATTTTTTTCTTTTTTTTGGTACTGGGGATTGAACTCGGGACCTTGCGGTTGTGAGGCAGATGGTGGAACCACTAAGCTAAATCCCTGGCCCTTTAATTTTTTATTTTGAGACAGGGTCTGCTAAGTCGTTAAGTTGCGTAGTATGGCTCAAAGTTGCAATTCTGCCTCAGACTCCCAGAGTGCTGAGATTACAGGTGAGCACCACTGTGCCTGGCTAAGTAAATCCACTTCTGAGATTACACGGGGCAAAGGAAGAGACAGAAACATGCAAGCACACAGATACATGCGCGCACACAGCTCCCAAAGTGTGTGGCATCACAGAGGGGCCCTCTGACAACTTGGCTGCTTGAAGTCAAGGTCACACTGGCTGGGCCTTCACCATCAGCAACATGAATACAGTCAGGACCCTCGGTGCATAACAACAGCAGTAACTATGGTCACAGCAGCCACAGGTGACATGTATAGGGAGTGCAGACTGCATGCATCTGTTCCAAATTTTAAGACACATCTTCTTTCTCATGATGCCAATAGGAAACTGGAGCTTGAAGAGATCAAATAACCTGCCCAAGGAAAAGAGAGGCAGAGAGCGGCAGAGCAGAGCCTCAAACCCAAATGTTTCCTCCTCAGTCACGCTGTGTTTCACAGCTAAAAACTGTTTACCTGCTCAAAACCAAAAGTACTCAATTTTTAGATTTTTAAATTCCAGTTCACAGACAGATCAATAATCCCTTCTATTTCTATTTATAATCTTAGAGTGAGTGGTTAATGGCAAAGGGCAGGTCCTTCCACGCCACATGATTTTTTGTGTGTGTGATACTAAAACAACTTTATTTTGCATAACAGGTTTATTTTTTTAAAGGCATATAGACAAAACAAAGTAAACATTTAAACAGATTTTAACTTCTGCCCTAAAATTGTTCCAGTAAGTGTCAGTCTCTAAACATTTTTAGTTCAGTAATCATCACAGTCCATTATTTTTCTTCTGTTGAATTTAACTTGCTTTCTTTTCTGTTTGTTGGCTTACTTTTTCAAGGATTTCTATTAAACCTTGTTCTGAGACCTTCCCACTTAGCTGTCCATGCTTTACCATCTGTATAAGGTAATTCTCTACTCCTTTTTTTTTTTCTGGATTTACAAGTGCTAAATTACCTAACCTGGCCCGGGCTGATGGATCCAGAACTTGTGCTAAGATACTGTTTCATATTTCTGCTTCCCTGTGCTTTGCTACCTGTTGTGCTGCATCATTAGGATCCCTGTGTTTCACCTGCAGCTCGGCCAGCCTCTGCTTCCTCAGCGCCTCCAGCTCCTCATCCACCATGGTGCGACTATCGTGGAGTAGCAGCAGTAGCCACTTCACATGATATTTTTTAACTATTTCTAAGCTGGTGGTCAGGACACCACAGCCCCAGTGTGGTTTCAGCTCAGAGCCGATGATCACAGCAGCTGTCCAAAAGGTGGGAGAAGCAAGAAGACAAACTCCAGGCCTCAGATTCATCCCTAGCTTTTGGCTCTCTGGGTCAAAGGCTTCCCAGGAATGCCAGCAGGGAAGTCCAGTGGCATCTCCTTCATAGTGCTGAAGGATATGGGCAAGGAAGCAGGGCAGGAAGCCGGGTGTGGTGGCACACACCTGTAATCCCAGCATGCAGGAGACTGAGGCAGGAGGATCACTGTGAGTTTGAGATCAGTGTAGGCTACACAGTGAGCTCAAGGTCAGCAAAACCCTATCTCCAAAAAATAAATCAATAAACAAAGCAGGGCAGGAGAAAAGCCTAAGCCTTACAGAATCTCATGGTGCCCTTCAAAATAGGAGCTGAGCGCCCAGGGGAAGGAAATAAGCACACAGTAAGTGCCTTTAGGGGGCTGCGGAGTCTTTCATTTCCTTTAACCCAGAAACACTAAGAAGTGGCTGTGTGGATAGTGTGGCGCTCAGAGGGCATGTGACCACCCTAGACCCCACAATCTATTCTGCATGCACCTGCAGGCTGCTCTGGCCTATGGGAACCTGGGGGAGGGGGGCTGCCAGCCACCAGCCATACAGGCAGACAGACAACCTGGCTTCCCATTCCAGCACCAAGAAACAATAGAGAACACTCTGAGCCGCTTTCTGTGTTCCTCCATGGACTACTCAGTTAAGTTAGCTTTTTTCTCTTTTCAAAAATTCTTTCCCAGGCAAGGTGTGGTAGTATACAACTACAATCGCAGCTACTTGGGAGGCTGAGACAGGAACACTGCAAGCTCAAAGCCAGCCTAGGCAACATATCAAAGCCATGTCTCAAAACAAAAATTAAACAAAGGGGTGGGGATTTAGCACCATGTGAGGCACTGGGTTCAATCCCCAGGATCATCCAACTAAAGAAAATTCTTTTTTACAAATCTTCAAAGCAATGTGTTGAACCCCAGCCACCTCACAGGGTGATCAGGAGTTTTCTGGCTGCTTGTTGCTGTCACTGTTACTGTTATCTCGGTGCTTTATATTTGAAGCTCTTTGATCCACAGCACTCATTGTTATTATTTTCTAATATTCAAGCCTCCCTGGTTAGGTCAGTAGAGATCTCTTCACACCAGTCAAGCTGGGGGTTTCTACTCATAATTCTCATCCTGTAAATGAACATGAGGCAGCTTGCAGAAGCTCACAAGCCCTATCCTGCATGTTTTCCCAGGATACCCGGCGTGGTGCCTGCTGGACAAACAGCAGACCATCCGGAAAGCTGGTAACTGTCTGACCCACATCACCCGAAGTCAGAGATTTTCCTATCAGAAAACAGAAGTCGTGGAGTGCATATGTCTGTCTTTTGCCAAATAAAACTTGGAAAAGGTACCTAAAATAAACAGCTTGAAAATAAAGTTTCTGGCAAGAACCCAAAATGGGTCTACCACTTTTATTTACAGAATATGAAAGCTGTTTTTCCCAGAAGAGCTGCTCTTTCACTTCCCCCTGGTTTTCAAATCTGTCTTATTAATGCAGAGCCCAAGGTCTCTCATTGGAGGACTCTGGGAAATGAGCATGTGGGTTACAGAGAGCACACCAGGCCCAGGCCCATTGCCTCCTGGTTCTGTCCCCATACACCCCAGTTCTTCACACTGCACTGCATGAAACCCACCCATCTATTCAAAGGATGAGCTAATCCTGCAGAGAAATCTACCGTGAAACCAGCAAGAACATGCACGTGCTAGGTTTACCGGCAACAGTTAGGTTTTGTTGTATATTTCTCAATTTATTTGCTTGTTATTTAAAAATTAGCTATCAAGGAGAAGGCCTAGCGTACATAGCTTAAGTAAAAATGGCTGGACCCAAAAGGGACAAAGGGGGCCCCTCTACTGCTCTTCAATGGGCCACACCAACATACACGGCACTCACGTGTCCAAGTCAGTCAGGGCACAGGCAGGAAGGCACCAACATGG